CATATTACATGCCTTTGTGAGGAAAACAAAAGTATCAAGTTACAAAGTTGGTGTGAAGAGCTAAATTGTCACGTTTGCTGCTTCAGCGTATTATTGAATGTAAAATGAACGAAAATCAACGTAAAACACCAGTAGTAATTAATTTGAGCGTAATTTTTGGACCTTGAATGAAAATACAACCTTGAAACATACACACTGCAAAGGGGAAAAGTCGTAGCAGACTACCAAGGTAGACACAAACCGGAAGTGAACCGAGCAGGGGTGAGTACTTATGGGACTACTGTACCAGTTCTATCAATTGCGCTCTGCACTATCTGAGATTGTCTCACTAGTTGCTGTTTATAGTCATCATATACATCCTAAATACCTAGGAAGGGAATTTATCCATGGTCATTGCCTCAGTCATAATTTTTTCATGGATATTGCGTCAGTCATAATGTTTTCATGGACATTGCCTCAGTTATAATTTTTTCATGAACATTGCCTCAATCATAATGTTTTCATGGACATTGCCTCAGTCATAATGTTTTCATGGACATTACCTCAATCAATTTTTTTCTGGCTATGGCCCTGCCCACTGGAATGTAGGGCAGCAACAAAGTTCTTCCACCACTGTCTGTCCTTGCCCAACTTTTGGATAGTGTCTCAGCTCTGGCTTAATCCCCTCATTATACTCTCTCTGAGGAGCTTAAACCACAGCTCTGGAACAAGTCTGATGCCTGAAATGATGAGTCACATTTTCTGTTTACAGAAATCATCAGGTGTGTTGTGAATAATGGTGGCTGTCATCAAAATGCTACTTGCACTGTTGACATTACCCTGCCCTTCTTTTTGAGACCAAAACTGCTCGAAAACATTACCCTTTGGGGCCTGGCATACTGAGGACCTATACAAGCGAGTACCCCCTAGGGACTTTTCCTATTTTTTTTTTTTTCATAAAAGTCAAACTCTGTACATCTGGAAGATTTTAACCCACCAGCAACAGGTTGCAGGGCAAAAGAAGATGTAAAATTCATTAATTAAAACTCTGTACGTTATTAGTTCTCATTTACATGTAAATTCAATTCTGCATTTGTTACCATGTATTAGGCCCACCATGTTTATTTCGACATGTGACATGAAAGCGATTAGGCCTTTGAAATTAGGCAGTATTGCAATCTTTCAAAACGTTTTTTCGTGTTAGTTTACCATTGGTTAGGCTGTTGTCTTGTGATCTCTTTGTGAACAATTTGTCACTTCAAAGACAGACTCTGTCTGGTCGCATCGAGACATAAGATCATCCCTATTGGCGCGCGAAGCCATTTTGGGCGATATTCGCTAGGCAGACGAGCAGCTCAGACGACGTCGTTGTTGGAAAGAATTGTTGCCGTTTCGGTTATAATCCAGGTAAGTAATAAATGAAAGTGAATTGACGAGACGACTTTTATTGGCGAATTGCTACTCAAACGAGAATTGGGCGGGTTGTCAACTTGTTCCACCGCCTATATTGTTGGGAGATGTGACGAAAGTTTGAAATATTTTTTCACATATAGCACCTATCGCAAATAACTGAATCGCACTATTACTGGAAACATACTTGTATAAAAGTCTTCCTAATCATCGACATATACGTTCGAAGCTTGAATTCAGAGCTCACGGCTGTTACAATATAATCAATATAGACAGATTTTAAAACACGTACTCTAGCTAAGCTGTCATTTTCCGCCAAGTAATCGCACTTAATTTTGCAATGAACGAATTTTCATTGAAAAGGCGAGAGCTCCTATTTAAGAACTTGTTTGCCTCTTTTTTGGCCACCGTTAGCCGTGGACAATTTTCGCGTTTAGCGGAAGGAAACAATTATTGCGGCCAGTAGTTTCAGGATAACGCGCGAGTGAAGGTCAAAAGGTTCATTCGCCTTTGCATGCATGGTACAAAGTCACGTACAATGCACTCAGAAAACTAATTTCTATTGAAAAAGTTTGCTTTCATTAGAGCCAAACCCCCTAAAATTCAGACTTTGCAACTTTGCGTCCCCTGAAGGACACTGAAAGTTTGTGATTTGCGAAGGAACATGAAATGGTTTTGCACAATGGGATCCCGAACACACCCCCGAAAACGCCTACTCTCGTACCAGTCGTTTGTAAACATAACCAGTCTGTCCTGTTCCGCGGCGTAGCTGACTGTGATTGGCGCGTAAATCGAGTCCAACTAGTTTGGACAACAAAGTTTTCTGTTTGGCTTCCAAGTTTACGCCGCACATTTAGCTCCCGTGACCACGCAGTTATCAAAGATCAAGCTTTTATCGAATCTACCAGTCGAAAAATTGTGGCCAAGTTGGGCAAATAATGCTCTCTGCGTTTCGTTTTGTACAGGTAGCAGCTAAAAGATCCATCTACACATCGACAAGCGCAATGGGTTCTTTGAAAGTCGCCGTGATCGGCCAGTCCCAGTTTGGTTTAGAAGTTTACAAAAATCTTCGCTTAAAAGGCCACGAGATTGTCGGAGTCTTCACTGTTCCTGACATTAAAGGCAAGCCAGATGTTCTCGCGGTAGGAGCTGAACAAGACGGAGTGCAAGTTTTTAAGTTTCCGCGGTGGAGAACCAAGGGAGAACCGATTCCCGACGTGGTAGATGCGTACAAAGCTTGCGGAGCTGAATTGAACGTTCTTCCCTTTTGTTCACAGTTCATTCCGATGAATGTGATTGATTTCCCTAAACATGGCTCTATCATTTATCATCCTTCTTTGCTGCCAAGGCACAGAGGAGCTTCAGCGATAAATTGGTGAGTATTTTTGTTTTGGTCACGCAAAAGTCTTCCTCATTTCCAGGCGATTTCTTGAACTACGGGGTACCGTTTACGTAACCTAAAATACATTTGTTGTAAAAACCATTTATTCAACTAAATGGTTCATTTGTTAACTAAAGCTGAATTCATCCGGCCATGAAATATTAAGAAAACAAAAGTGGACGACTCAGTGACAAATTTTTTGGTTTGTATTCGGTAATTCAAGTTTGTTTATTTATGTTGCCTCTGCTCTAGTGCTTCAATTCGACGAAAATTTGAACACGATGTAACAATAGCCAATTATTCACAAACATTTCCAGACGTGAAAATTGAAAAGGTCGCTGTTTTATCTTTTGTATTTGGCGTTGAGCTCGTTAGCAAACAGCTAGCAAACGAGTCAAACTGGATTAAAATCACAGACAAAAGATACTAGGTCTTTCTCGGAGGCCGGTAATGTCGCGTCGATGTACATTTGATCGATGCTCTTTCTTGTTGAAAAGAAATGTTATTAAATATTTGATGATAACACTGGTTGAACAGCTTATTTCGCTCTCAGGGAAAAGTGTTGAAATACATTATAACCCGTTGAAATGAATTGTTGAAATCAACCGTTGAAATTGTTGAAATGTTACGTTGTTAAATTTATTAGTTTGCGAACGTGGTTTAGGGCGCCATTTTGTTTTTGCAGTCCAAATGCATGTTGCAAAGCTATTATAGCAACCCTCATGAAATATTTTCTCTGTAGAGTTACATTGAAAAACTAACCTAAATTTTGGTTGTGCTTGCCATGAAAAGACGTTTAGAATTGTACAAAGAAAAAATAACAACAAAAACTTGATAATTTCAACCTGTCATATACAAAGTCATATACAAGGTTGAAACTCCACTGAACAAATCTTTATTTCTATGTCACAGTCTGGATAATGTAAACCACTTCTTAAAACTTTTATTTAATGGCAACTGAGAGGGCATGGTATAAGGAAGACAGTTGGGCTGGATTACCTGCTTGAAAACCTCACAAAGTATTTTTTAAATTATATTTTATTGGCAGAGTTTCCATGTCTTTGTACTGAAAATATGTGAGAAACGTATTTCCAGGTGTGAAGAATAAATGAGAATGAGAAGGAATGAAAGTTTTAAATCCCCTCCACCTCCTGGATGCACTATATTTAGGGCTGAAAAAATTATTTTTTCAGGACCTTGATGGAAGGAGATAAACAGGGAGGTTTCAGTGTGTTCTGGGCTGACGACGGCTTGGATACAGGTCCTATCCTCCTTCAAAAGAGTGTGGATATTGACCCAAACGAGACAGTTGATACTCTTTACAATCGCTTCTTATATCCTGAAGGCATAAAAGCCATGGTATGTTAAATATATTTCTCGCATAAAAAATAATTATGGCATGGCAAATATTATTAGTATACAGTATTATTTACCCAATACATCTGTAAATAGTACCCATTCAAGGGGCATTTTGAAGTGAAGTGTTCGTTGGTACAATTGCATAATGTATATTGGACGCACCCTTCCAATATCAAAATTAAGTAAGCTTGATTCTGCATTTTCCTCAATCAGAAATAGGTTATAATAAGTCAGAACTTTGAGCAACAAACTAATATAGCTACTTTATAATGTCATGAAAAACTGGAAATTCTAGTAGTCACTGTATGTACATAAAAATATTGTTTGAGCCAGGTTTCAGTTGAGATCACTGAAATCATTCTAAAACTGGCAGAATCATTGACGTACAGTGATAGGCTAGAGCAACTAATCCAACCAAGAGCACACTAGCAAATTTTTGGCAAACTGACCAGTAGTGTTTGTATGTTAGAACAGTGAAATTGTCACAAATTTATTGTCTCTTGTCCCTAGTGTGCTTGGATCGGTAATTTGTGTGAAAACCATTGTAAACATCAGTTTATTTTGAACTTATCTGTTGGGGGTTTTTGTTTAGGTTGAAGCTGTTGACCTTATTGGTGACGGAAAGGCTCCAAGAATTCCTCAACCAGAAGAAGGAGCAACGTATGATAAAATCTGGAAAAAGAAGGAAGTGGCAAAGGTTAATGCAGCTTTTTCAATATAAGTAAATTTAATGTGATGGTGGTTAGGGGATCAGCCCTCTCATACAATTAATCAAACGTACAAGTTATTTAACAAATAGAAAACATGTACTGTGTTTCTATTGAGTTATAGAAACACGAGTGGAGGTTGGGAGAATGAGAAATGCTGTGGGAACAGAAGCCACAGGCGAGTGTTTCCACAGCTTTTTCGAGTTCTCCCAAACTTTCACGAGTGTTTCTATAACTCGATAGAAACACGGAGAACATGTTACTATTTCTTTTAGAAAACGCCACGATGAAAAAAAGGAAAACAACTTGTTAACTTTCTTTATCAAAGTGTAAATTCTCTTTGCTTGCGCCATCATTACGTCAACAGCTTGTTCTAATTCTGTGTTTCTATCGAGTCAGAGAAACACGATTTTTAACCAATCAGCGCATGTATTTTCTTAGGACTGTTTTCAAGCAAAACTTTTTTGTCAATGGAATAAATAGTGTTGATTTATTGCCGATGAAGGTTACAGAATTTTCATGGAGACATCCACTTTTAAAGTTTTCAGTCAGTGACAAACAATTTTTATATTTATTACCATGACTGGCTTCAATTACAATATCTTCAGACCTGAAATGTTACATGGTTCTTTTTAATGGTATGTTCATCATTGCCTAATGATTGGTGAATATTTGCATAGGGTATAAAGGAAAAGAACTAAGAAGCGAGTTGGTATTTGTTATTTGTCAGGGTTGCTTCGTAGATTAAGTATTATCCCTTTCTAATTTAATTTTTTTTCACCTATATGCAGATAAATTTTGCTCAACCAGCAGAGGTGCTGCACAACTTTATTCGTGGAAATGATAAAGTGAGTACTAACAAATACTCAAATGAAAACAATAATGCATAAAAGTTCACAATTTCATGTATTGGTATTTTTCAAGTCCATTTCCTGTCAGATTCACAGGTACATGTATACATACGAAGTTAGCACAATTCAACTGAAAGTAATAACTAATTAAAAGTTTTCATTTAATCTTGCAGCTTCCAGGGGCTTGGGCTATGATTGATGGCCATGTGAGTTTTTTAAAATTATTATACGCTATGTTGGAGTCCATCAATCTGTTACTTAATTTAATAAAACTTGAGAGGGTTGTAGCTTGCACTTGGTCCTTGTTTGAGATATTTTAATTCTAAGCTGTTATTAGCTGAACCAAGTACTACAATTGAAGTACTACAATTGAAGTGACTTTTTGAAAATTTTGAGGTAACCAGCATTGATTAATACCTAGCAACAATTTTCACAGTTTACTCTGGTTTTAATTATTATCTCAAAAGAACTAGTAGTAATTACTAGTTCTTTTGAGACAATAATAAAAACCAGAGTAAACTGTATTAATTGCTGGCTACATCAATGCTGGTTACCTCAATCTTTTCCAAAAGTCACTTAGGGCTTTATTCCACTCACCCCTTCAATTATTGCTGTCTGATTCTGTTAATGCTAGCACATTTAATTTTGTTATGCTTAGGGTGAGCATGGGGTAGATCACTCTTGTCATCTGCAGTTACTTGCAGCTATCATAAACAGCCACCAATCAGGCAAACACTCTCTCAGTCAAACAGGAAGATCTACAAGCTTTTGTTAGTGTGTCTTTAGTTTTAGAATATTAGGAAAATGTGTCCAGGCAGACTTCCCTTCATCACTAAAACAAGCAGTTTGTGTAAATTATGAAAACATTCACTGATTAATTTGAGTGATTTCCTTCTCTTACAGCAAGTAACATTCTATGGTTCATCATTGACACCTGGTGAGAAACCTCCTGAGGGTGCACCTGTGACAATTGAGGGTTTAGACACACCTGCTGTTGTTCACAGTGGTGGTATGACATTGACTGGAACTGATGGCAAGATGGTAAGCCAATAACTACAGACTGAAGTTCACTCCTTTAAAATGGATTTGAGAAATTGTCAAAACTACAGGTTGGTCAGCGTGCAAAGAGAGTCATGTCCAATGGACCAGGAATAGTGAATTTGCAATATTATTGTTGTAGTGGATCCTGTCCTTCACTTGCGTGTTGTACAAGTAATGGTCCTTGGAAAGATTTGTAAGGAAATTCAAATTCCAGACTGAAGTAGTGTTAAGAGATGAAATTTTGGGGGGCTGGTTAGAATGACTTTTGGGTTAGTACATCATAAATTAAGCTTGCCCAAAGCTGTAGTATTGGATTTCTTTACATCTGTTAGTCATTGTCACCGAAACAGCAAAAAATGCTGCATTTTAAACAATTATTGTTTAAAATGCAGCATTTTTTGCTGTTTCGGTGACAATGACTAACGGATGTAAAGAAATTATTGTGCTTTGATTCCTTTTGTTTGCAGTTGACTGTCAAGACACTTCAGCTTGAGGATGGGCGCATGATCCAGGCAGCCAAGTTTGGCCAGGCAGAAGAAGCGGCAGAAGCCATTGAACTTACTGATGAGGNTGCTGTCTGATTCTGTTAATGCTAGCACATTTAATTTTGTTATGCTTAGGGTGAGCATGGGGTAGATCACTCTTGTCATCTGCAGTTACTTGCAGCTATCATAAACAGCCACCAATCAGGCAAACACTCTCTCAGTCAAACAGGAAGATCTACAAGCTTTTGTTAGTGTGTCTTTAGTTTTAGAATATTAGGAAAATGTGTCCAGGCAGACTTCCCTTCATCACTAAAACAAGCAGTTTGTGTAAATTATGAAAACATTCACTGATTAATTTGAGTGATTTCCTTCTCTTACAGCAAGTAACATTCTATGGTTCATCATTGACACCTGGTGAGAAACCTCCTGAGGGTGCACCTGTGACAATTGAGGGTTTAGACACACCTGCTATTGTTCACAGTGGTGGTATGACACTGACTGGAACTGATGGCAAGATGGTAAGCCAATAACTACAGACTGAAGTTTACTGCTTTAAAATGCATTTGAGAAATTGTCAAAACTACAGGTTAGTCAGCGTGCAAAGAGAGTCATGTCCAACGGACCAAGAATAGTGAATTTGCAATATTGTTGTAGTGGATCCTGTCCTTCACTTGCCTGTTGTACAAGTAAAGGTCCTTGGAAAAATTGGTAAGGAAATTCAAATTACAGACTGAAGTACTGTTAAGAGATGAAATTTTTGGGGGCTGGTTAGAATGACTTTTGGGTTAGTATATCATAAATTAAGCTTGCCCAAAGCTGTAGTATTGGATTTCTTTGCATCTGTTAGTCATTGTCACCTAAACAGCAAAAAATGCTGTATTTTAAATAACTGCTTTGATTCCTTTTGTTTGCAGTTGACTGTCAAGACACTTCAGCTTGAGGATGGACGCATGATCCAGGCAGCCAAGTTTGGTCAGGCAGAAGAAGCGGCAGAAGCCATTGAACTTACTGATGAGGAGAGGGTCATGGAAGGCAAACTGAGGGTACAACAGCAGTCAGTGCTCTAACACCATGTTCACACTTGGTGCCTGAGTACAGTGCCCAAGCAAGATTCTCACTGGGCACTAATGTGAACACACCATTTTTCTAAGCACTCACACCAGAATTTGGGCACAGTGCCTGTGCCCTGGTACAAAGTCTTGGCCTTGTACTTGGGCTCTAAATGGTAGTAAGAGTAACTTGGGTTTTTAGTGTACCCAATGTCTGAACGCAGCACTATTTTGTGCCCTCGCCTAAGCATCAGTGCTCTGGCACCAAGTGTGAACACATCACAGATTGTGATTTGCTGTAGTTAAGTTAGTTTGCGAGCTTGCTGCATTTGACCTTACAAGTCAAATCCTCTATCCTGGCACTAGCTGAATTTGTTCTTGGGGTGGCAGAGGTTATCTGCACAGTGTTGCCATGTCAATTGATTACCGATCAACTGTACACCTGTTTGGATTCTTAACAGTGTATTTTCAAATTACAATTGAATGGTTTGTTTATTTGAATTGTCCACAATCAGCACAACAGTTCTTAATCTAGTCATTTATTTGACAGGAAATTTGGTCTGGAATTTTGGCAAATCCAGACATTGTAGAAGATACTGACTTCTTCAAGGCTGGTGCAGGCTCTATGGATGTTACCAGGTAATTTCCTTCAAGATTACTCTCTTGCTTTTGTAATGCATAGAATTGTGGCAAGGAAAGACAAACATATGTGAAGAAGACTGCCTAAGGTGCCTTTACATTATAGTTTTAAGTGTAAATGCAGCAATCTTATCTTTGACCTTGGCATGTTTCATTTAGGCTTGTTGAGGAAGTGAAAGAAAAGTGCTCTGTAGTACTAGAAGCAGAGGAAATTTACATGAATACAAGGTATAGTTCTGTTAAATGTTATCTGTTGTATGGTGCAGTACATATAATGTAGTGAACAAAGGTGATTTTCATGAACAGACTAGGCAATGGGTGTAATTTGACAATATGACTAAGAAAAGTATGGTTAGCTGTTGTCACAGGTGATTACATTTTGCTTGCTCCTCCTTCAGATATGCAGATTTTGTTCGTTTGTCTGTCTTGAGATCTCGTGGCGGAGGCCGAGAGGAATTCACCTGTGACACTGTAAGTACCTGACAAAATAAATAATACACCATGGGTTTTACAACTGAACTCCACCATAACAAACATACCTGGCTCTAAAACACTGAGAGCTTTACCTTAACCAGGGTCCTTGTGTTCATACTTTTCTTTATTGGCATTCATGCTCCATTGGGTTAAGAATCCTTTCTTTGGATAACTGTGCACTGATGTACATGGTACCTGTAAGTAATAGTTGGCGAAACCAACTGAAACCTAATGCTGAGGATATAGCATTCCATTCAGGGAAAATGGCAGGCCTACAAGCCTCATCACATCTAGTTGAAACACATGCAAATGTTTTGAAGTTTGATCATAGCTACGAGTTAAGAACTTGTCAAAACCCCCTTGTCCCTTTTCAATGTTGGAAAATGGCAAAATGCATTCATTTGTCTGCTCAAAGTGTTTTGTCTACATTTCAGTGGGGTGGGGATGGGCAAAATGAGTGAAAACTGAAGTGTTTCAACAATCACATTCATTGACACGATGCATTAACCTTAAGTTAATATTTCCTTTCAGCTTGACATGGATGTGAACCACATGACAGTCTGTATGCCGTATCAGTTGTTTATCAATGGAGAATTTGTGGACTCTTCCAGTGGACGTACATTTGATTGTATCAACCCAACTGATGGCTCTGTAAGAAATAAATTTATATGTGAATCATTAGATAAGAGTGCTAAATGCTTTGCTTTTTTCACTAATATATTTCTTGATTGTTTTTTATATCCTAAAGGTACTTACAAAAGTCTCTTTTGCAAGCGTTGAGGATGTGGATAAAGCCGTTGCAGCAGCAAAGGTTAATAAATGAATTTTAATTAATATGTTCTTTTTTGAGGCCTTGAACTACATCACTAAATGTAAGAGGGGGTGGGGGCAGTGGGTAGCTAGATTGGAAGTAATAAAAAATGCTGTTAAGTCAGGTAGTCTCATTATCAGGCTTGGCACTGGCCTAGCTGGAGGTAAAATATTTTTATTTAATCAAAAATTATCAGGAAAAGTCAGACTAGTCACTAAAAAATTACCATTAGATAATAATTTTCTTCATGGTTGGTGGTATGAGTCATGTTACATGTATTGTGCATTTGGTTCTTTTTAGGAAGCATTTGATAATGGGCCTTGGGGAACAATGAATGCAAGAGATCGTGGACACCTGATGTACAAGTAAGCAATTTAATTTTCTTTCTGGCAAATTGTAATGTCTCGTTATCTGGTATCTAACTCATCTTTGAGAAGTTGTGCCAGAAGACATTTGAGCCTTTCAGTCAGAACATAAAATAAATACAGTGAAACCTGTATTAAGCGGACCTCATATTAAGCGGACACCAGCTTGAGTCCCTAAATTTTCTTCCCACATTTACTGTGAAATAAACCTGCATTCAGCAGACACCTCTGTTAAGCAGACGTGGACACCAATATTAAGCCATTTTG